ATATATATAAATATATGCAGGCCAATATCAGCCGCTGAATTGATTGTGTGGAAATGTAATTATAAACTGAAACGTTTGCATAAAATAATAACAATCATAATAACAAGTGTAAAATTACAATAAGATAAACACTATGAACATGAGGCTTACACTGAGACCAGAAGTTTCTTTAGTTTTGATTTAAACTTCTGGTCTCGGTGTATGGCAGGTAGGCCTAAGCCTCATATCAGTGCTTGCGTAGAGTATGTTTCAACACTGTCGTTTTGTGAGACCTTAGCAACCATTATGCAAGAGGCGGGACTTAGCGGAAAGGTCTATTATATTACAATCTATGAATATTCATAAAATACAGTATAATGTTAAACCAGAATTCTAGGTGATTTTCATATGGTGTACGGTAGGGTTGTTTTTGCAAAGATTCATGAATGTACTAAAGGAAGGCCTTAATTTAATCGAGGTTTTGAGTGAGAGGGTCATAGTAAATATTGTTATTGTTGTTGTTATTATAATGATTTATTAATTATTACATTTTTAATGACACACATTCTCATTATTTTTCCAACAAAAAAACAAGGTGTATACCCCACAATTATCTTTTCCAAACACAGTGCTATTACAAACATCCATACTTCGTCACATCCCCACAAACACTACACTACATAATTAACAATTCTTTTTTTCCATCCCAATGCTACATGGACTGGGTCATTATGGATACATGGATGCTGAGATGTGTGCAGCTGACCACTGTTTTCATGTCATTTGGATATATCAAGAGCAGTACTATGCAATGGACCTTCCGGAGTGTCAATCAGACATAGCAACTGACCAATCAGAATAGGGCAATAAATATGCGCGTGTCGCACAGAAACGTTTTGTCGTAAAAAAGCATGTGTGTGCGCGTATGTCTTTACATTGCCGTTTTGTGGGACATTAGCCACAGAAATTCATTAATTATCTAATTCTTATTATTCTTTGAATCGATGTTTGAAATAAACTGAAAAAAAAATCTCATTTGATAGGGAGAGCCCCCCTCTCAACCCCTTCTCCCAGCTCGAACCTACGAGCTCAAGTCCCCCCTATCGGACAACTTAGCCCCCCACAGAAAATATATCCTAGAGCCGCCACTGATTAGATGGTGTGATTTATATTGTTGATTAACTTTAATAATAACTGAGCTCCGTCGGCATGTCAGCACCTATTTTCTGAGCTCCCTCATGCAAGCAAATGGATGAAATAAATCAAACATTCAACTTAAAGTAAAATAAGCTGTCCATTAGGCAAAATGAGTGCTACAAGAGCGAAATTGAAAAAAAACTCCGAAGCCGAGACAACGCCTATGTCACGTCAGCTTGAAATTCCCACGATCACTGACTTGAAAACCAACACGTCGTCGTCGTCGGAGATAAGGGCCCTGCGAGTGGAACTGAAAGAAATGTTTGTTGATATTAATAAACGAATTGAAGAAGGAATATCGTCGATTAAAATGTAATAAGCAGGTATTGATAGATAGAATAACGAAAGTAGAAGAAACACAGCATGTTATGGATTAATCACTTGAATACTATACAACTTCTGCTACCGAAATGGAAATGAACGTAAAGAGACTAACTTCACGTGTCGAGAAAATGGAAACTGAATTGAAAGAGAAACAGAATCAAATAAGCAACATGGGAGGTGAAATTCTAAGGATGGAGAGATATTCAAGCGGATTCAGTCTACGGTTTGGTCGAATAACGGAAGAGGATAACGAAAATACGCTAGACAAACTGAATAAAATTATAAGAGATAAACTAAATCTCAATGATATTAAAATTGAAAACGCACATATAATAAGACTTATAATCGCTAAATTTATTTACAGGACACAACGATCCAAAGTTCTCAGGAAAATAAAAGCACTAAAGGATAAAGATTTCTACGCAACGGAGGATCTTACAGCATCAGATGCCAAAAAGAAATGCGAGTACGGAGATATAATGTTGAAAGCGTACAAAGAAGGGGATACATCCTGTATTTCGAAATGAAATATTATATATTGATGGGAGAACATACCGTGATCTACGAAAGTGACGTAACTGTAATTTACTAGCACGTATAGTATTATTTCTTGCTATAATTATATTATCTATAAAATAATTTGTGTAATTCAAACGAAATCCCGCTTACACTGTTAACGACAATACGGCACCAAATAATATATAATTCTATCAATAATTAATTATGATCCTACTTTTAATTATGCTGAACGTTTATCCCTCCTTCAGATTCCACTTATTTCTGTCCGTTATAAATACCTCCTTCTTTCTTTTGTATTGTCTTGCTTCCATAGAAAATATGATATTGAACCAAATCTTCTTCCTGTTGTTAATAACCGTCATCTCTCTGATTTTAGATTTAAGATCCAATTTGCTAGAACCAATTGTTTTAAATTTACTGTTTTTAATTACTTTCCTTATTTATGGAATGATCTACCTCCAAATATTAGGGAATGTGCAGTTAATTCCACAAAATTTAAATATGTAATTAAGCAATATTTTTTTAATTAAATCATTTTAAATTATATTTTTACGAAATTGTAATTCTCTTTATAATATTTTTATTAACTTTTTATATTGTACATAAATGAATTGTGAATTTTTCAGATTTTAATGTTTGTCTTTTTAATGTTTTGGAGAACCTTTAGATAGTGATTAAGTTCGCTTTTAGGTAATCCTCAGACTTTTTGTTTTTTTTGTCATTTGTTTCTCTTATCTATTTTACTGTATTGTCTTGCCTGGAAATAAAATAAAATAAAATTAATTGCTGTATTTTTGAGTGCGCATTGTGGGTGTGTGTATGTGTGCATGATGGGATGTGTGCGGGAGGTGGGGATATATGTGAATGCGAATGGTCTATGTTATAAAATTTTGTATATATTTGTGCTTACAACTTGTATATATTGTGAGTATATGTACGACTGTATTTCCTTAAATTTTATAAATGTAGGATCACGGAAAGTCATTTAATGGCTGGGTAGCCGTTAAAATAATAACATACGTTACAAATTCCTCAAGGTGTTATATAACTGAATATATTTAATTATATTATTATTATTTTTTGTTTTGTTACACTGAAGATGTCGTATTGAATACGAATAAACATGTCTGGTTCTATTAAATGTATATTTGTTGCTCTTAAATTCGTCTTTATACTACTTTCTGTTCGGAAGTTTAGCTGTATTGTACATGAGTTTACACAGACCAGTACGGTCACAAAGCAAGACCTCAGGCTATTTGAGAAACTCAGCAAGAAGTTGAAAAAAGCAGACGCAGACATAAATTTTCCCAAAAATTGTAGAATCTTCGGCGTTTTCCCTAAATTTATTATTATTATTATTATTATTATTATTATTATTATTATTATTATTATTATTATTATTATTATTATTATTATTATTGTTATTATTATAGTTATTGTTATTGCCATAATTACTATTATTAGTAGTAGTATTATTATCTACATTTACTAACTAAAATTCTACGAAATATATGTTTTCAATGGCAAATGTTGATATCAATGATGAGGATGAAGATATAACTGCACTTAGTTATAAGGAAAACCATTACATCAGTATTGATCAATTTAAATCCATGTTTAGCCAAACACCAACAAATACATTTTCTATGTTTGCATTAAATTGCAGAAGCATTGTAAAAAAATTTGACGCATTCAAAAATTATATTTCATCTCTAAATTTTAAATTTAGCCTAATAGGACTCTCAGAAACTTGGCTCTCAAGCAGACATCACTTTGGCTTGTACACACTCCGACATATACACCTACTGTATATATAAAAATAGAGAAACCCAGGCAGGGGGATCTGTTGCGCTATATATCCACTCAAGTATAACCTATCGGTCAAGAAATGACCTGTCTGCTGTGATAAACGAAGGAGAGTGTATTATAGTTGAAGTACAGAATGATGATAAACTAATTACTGTATATGTGGTATAATCTACAGGCCCCCTAAGCACATATCCCAACATTTAATAACCAACTCAGTGAATTAATGCACACAATAAACAATGAAAGTTAAAAAGCATATCTTATGGGCGATTTTAATTTAGATCTTCAGAAATATAGTTCCGACAATAATGTTCAAACTCATGTGGATAATATGTTAACTGAATTTTTCATTCCTCTTGTAATAAACCCACTCGAATCACAAAGGATACTGCAAACAATTAAATTGATAATATTTATACAAATAATCAAGAATTCGAAAACATTAACACAGGAATATTATGACATCTCTGATCACTTTGCCGTTTTCTGCATAAATGATTCAGAAAAACATTCATCACCACCACCAGAAAAATTTTTGTTATACGGAACAACAAAAACATCAGTTTAGAATTGAATTAGAGGACCATGACTGGCAGCAAGTTACTAGCTGTGAGGACGCTAATGAGTCATATAAACGTTTGTCAGATACTCTAAAAACAATGAGAGATCGGTGTTTTCATTTGATAAAAGTCAAGTTAAAAAGTAAATACAATTAAATCCCTGTGCATAACGCATGGAATTCATAAATCACATTTTATCAAAAATTAACTATACATTAAATATAAAAAGAAACCATCAGATATGAATAAAGCTAAATATAAGAAATTTAAAAATAAGTTAACATCTGTAATTAGGGAAAGGAAAGAGATTTACTATAAAAATGAATTTGAAAAGCACAAGAGTAACATAAAGAAAACATGGGGTGTTATTAACACAATATTAGGTAGGAAGAAACATCAAGGCATACCTTCCAAAATGAAATTAAACTCCCAGCAATTAAATGACCCGATAGCTATAGCGAATGCTTTAAACTCATACTTCATTAATATAGGTGAACAAATGACACGTGATGATAATCACGAAAATAATACAGCTAAGGCAACATTACACAATATGACAAATTCAATGTTTTTTAGAGAGGTATCAGAATCTGATACAAATAAATACATTAATGACTTAAATGAAAGAAAGTCATGTGGTTCTGATGATATTGGTGCCTTTCTTATAAAGAATAACTTAGATATACTGGCTAAACCTTTATCTCATATAATTAATTTATCACTTCAATCAGGTATATTTCCTAATCAACTGAAAATTGCTAAAACAATTCCTGTGTATAAAAAGGGAGAAAAAGAGAACATAACAAATTATAGACCAATTTCGATATACCCTGTATATCCAAAGTGTATGAAAGGTTTGTATATGACCAAACATTTGCCTTTTTGTGTAAATATAATCTCCTACATGAATCACAATATGGGTTTAGGGCAGGCCATTCAATCAATTTCTGATGATATTGGTGCCTTTCTTATAAAGAATAACTCCGACATACTGGCTAAGCCTTTATCTCATATTATAATTATATTATCACTTCAATCAGGTATATTTCCTATTCAACTGAAAATTGCTAAAACAATCCCTGTGTATAAAAAGGGAGAAAAAGAGAACATAACAAATTATAGACCAATTTCGATATTACTCTGTATATCCGAAGTGTATGAAAGGATCGTATATGACCAAACATTTGCCTTTTTGTGTAAATATAATCTCCTACATGAATCACAATATGGATTTAGGGCAGGCCATTCAACTAATCACGCCCTCTTGCAAGCACTTGTCAAAATAACAAAACAGCAGTTGATAACAAGCATTTTATGATTGGTGTATTCTTGGATTTGTCCAAGGCGTTTGATTCGATAGACCACGAATTATTGCTTAATAAATTACCATATTATGGAATAAGAGGCGTGGTTCTTAGCGTGGTTCCTATCTTAGCAAAAGAATACAATTTGTACAAGTTGGAAATTGTCTGTCTGAAACTAAAATAGTAAAGCAGGGTGTTTCACATGGGTCAATTCTTGGACCCCTGCTGTTTTTAATTTTTTATTAATGATATGTTTTCTGTAAGCAATATTGTTGATGTAATAATGTTTGTAGATGTTACAAATATTTTTTTACAACATAATGATATTATCACTGCATTTACAACAATGGAAAATGAACTTGATAAATTGGGAAATGGTTTGAAATTAATAGGTTATCTATTAATACGTCAAAGACAACGTACATGCTATTCAGTGGAAAAAATATTAAGATTGATACATCCCAACTCGTACTTTCCATAAACAAAGTTAAATAGATAGGGTACCACTAAATTTCTTGGTGTCATCATTGATGAAAAATTGAATTTTAAAAACCATACAAATACAGTTTCCTGTAAAATTTCTTCAATCATTGGTGCCATGTGTCAAATAAAAAATGCAGTACCGTGAAGTTTTACTTGCCATATACAAGACACTTATATTACCTGTGATAACATACGGAATAATCATTTGGAGTACGGGAAATAAAGAAAATATGGACCGCCTTTATTTACTCCAGAAAAAAGCCCTTAGAATAATTTGCAATGTCAATTTTCACCATCCTTCTGCACAGCTCTTTGTTAAAACATGTACAATTGAAATATTTGATTTATATGAAAACAGTATTTTGAATTTTATGTTTAATTTTAATAAAGGAAGGTTACCAAAATCTTTTAATTCTTTATTTAATATCTTTGATACCTATCATAAATATGGCACTCGAAATAAAGAAAATTATTGTATAAAATTAAAATCAACCAGTATGGGTCAGCAAAGTATAACATATAGGCCTAGAGGGCCGAAGCTTTGGAATCAACTTGCTAGAAGCATAAAAGAGTGTACAAATATGTCGATATTTAAAAAAGAATTACTAAATAAGAACATAAATAATTATAAACAAAAAATGTATTCTTGTGAAAATAATGTTTGTAGGGTATGTCTTACCTATATATAATGGTTTCCTTTAAATGTTTTATTATTATTATTATGGATTTGTAAGGTTAAATTTTAAGTTAAGGGCGCCAAAGTTCAAAAAGCTTGTAGCTTGTTGTGGTGGGCCTATTTTTAACACCATTATATGTTCTTTTATGTATTGACTATTTGATTTTGTGTGAAAATAAACATTTCTCAGACTCAGACAACGTTTACATTAAAGAAAACAAGCAGAGGGGAGAGAGTGTGAGCATTGACAGACACTCAACTCAGTGCCAATACGACCGAGTTGTTCCAGTTGAGATGGTTAAATTGTATATGGGGTGTGCACAACGCATTCAGCTGTTACCGGTACTAGAATACAGTATATAAAAGTATATAAAAAAAACCAAAAAAAAAAAACCTTGCATTTATATTGCTATCACCACACCATCATATTTGAATAAATTATTAGCGTGTTTTTCCGAGCTTGGAAATAGGTAATCGATTACAAAAGACGCATTATACAATAATGCCGTCATTCAACATTCTCACTTGTACCAGGGAGTTTTTATATAGTCAATATAACAACTATCTGCTTGCACTCAATGCCCCCAAAATGATTATGGAATTCAATAAACATATAGTAACTGACGTCAATAAAAGCAACATAACACAATAATCATGAATCTGTCAATAAATGTATGCCCTAATATAATAATCTTCAACAATAAAATCAATAACACAATAATCATGAATCTCAATAAGTATCCAAGTAAGACACTGTAAGTAATACCCTGAACTCGTAAAAAAATGTGCTGCACAGGCACAGAACACAAAGAAATCGACTATGGGATGTCAATTATATTAGGTATGGCGCGCAGATAAGCGTAATAAAGAGTGAGTAACCCAAAATTACGGCGTGGAACATGTCAATATATAATAGTGTGTACAATTGATATTGTAATTATTACAATATCAATTGTACACAGATGTGTATAAGAGACAGCATTATGGATGCATGGACGCTGAGGTGTGTGCAGCTGACCACCGTTTTCATGTCATCTGGATATATCAAGAGCAGTACTATGCAATGGACCTTCCGGAGTGTCAATCAGAAATAGCAACTGACCAATCAGAATAGGGCAATAAATATGCAGGGGGATCTGTTGCGCTATATATCCACTCAAGTATAACCTATCGGTCAAGAAATGACCTGTCTGCTATGATAAACGAAGGAGAGTGTATTATAGTTGAAGTACAGAATGATGATAAACTAATTACTGTATATGTGGTATAATGTACAGGCCCCCAAAAGCACATATCCCAACATTTAATAACCTACTCAGTGAATTAATGCACACAATAAACAATGAAAGTAAAAAAGCATATCTTATGGGCGATTTATCATTTTGTGAGACAACAATGAATCCTATATGGTTGAAATATTGATTGATAAACCACATTCAGAAGTCGATATATAGGTTAGCAATTTAGAAACTAAGAATACGGCTACCTTTTGTGTAATAATAAAATCAACTTTGTAATCAATTTTCTTTTTGTTTCATTTATCAATATCGTAACCCCGTGTTGTGCAAGCTTAGTTCAGTTGTGCCCCCAAAATGATTATGGAATTCAATAAACATATAGTAACTGACGTCAATAAAAGCAACATAACACAATAATCATGAATCTGTCAATAAATGTATGCCCTAATATAATAATCTTCAACAATAAAATCAATAACACAATAATCATGAATCTCAATAAGTATCCAAGTAAGACACTGTAAGTAATACTATCATTCCTGATGATGACATAATTAATGTCGAAATATTGAATCCCAACACGATGGCGTGTATTCCAATACTTGGAGTATGTATTATACTTTCTTATCTGAGATTAATCAGTGGACCTTTCGGTAAGTAATACTCTGAACTCGTAAAACAAAATGTGCTGCACAGGCACAGAACACAAAGAAATCGACTATGGGATGTCAATTAAATTAGGTATGGCGCGCAGATAAGCGCAATAAAGAGTGAGTAACCCAAAATTACGGCGTGGAACATGTCAATATATAATAGTGTGTACAATTGATATTTTAATTATTACAATATCAATTGTACACACTATATATATTGAGAAATTTCGAAACTAAGAACTACGTCCGCCTTATTGGATTGCCGGGCTTTGTAATCAATTTTGTTTCACTTTATCAATTTGTAGTGTCTGTTCAATAACAATTTCCCTTGATTATAATGTAGTAGGTCTATGCCAGTGACGGATCCAGGGGGGTTCAAGTGGTTCGGACGAACCACCCCTCTGTGAAGAACGTAACAAAATACTACTGGATCCTACAATTATACAATTAAAAACACTGTTTTGATTCGATGTTGTAATAATTTATGTACGGTACGAAAGTGTGTTCTGACTACTCAATATTGTTGGAATATAGGCCTAATAATATATTGACTATATCTTTGATTTTTTTTTTTCAAAATGACATAGGCCTAAGAATGAGTTAAAAGAACCTGAAGTTTTTTAAGAGGGTTAAACCAGGAATTTTGAAGAAATTCATTTCCGGGCATCTAGGAAGGACCCCCTTTCATTTTGGTATTTTGGGAAATTTTTTGAACCCTCCTTCAAATCCTGGATCCGCCCCCGTATGCAATATCATTTTGTGAGGCAACAATGAATCCTATATGGTTGAAATATTGATTGATAAACCACATTCAGAAGTCGATATATAGGTTAGCAATTTAGAAACTAAGAATACGGCTACCTTTTGTGTAATAATATAATCCAACTTTGTAATCAATTTTCTTTTTGTTTCATGTATCAATATCGTAACCCCGCGTTGTGCAAGCTTAGTTCAGTTGTGCAAACTGGGCTGAGACGATCACCATGGCTCTGTTTTACCATCTTATGAAGGTAAGTTAAACAATTATAACAAAATGTTGAGACGGTTAGACGCAGTGAAAAATTGGTTTGCTTTTCGGAAGTCGAGGTCGGGGTTTCATTCCTTTGCTGTGCATTTCACTTTTGTCCATAGCCAAAGTCGATTATCTTCATTGCTTCAACTTACCAAACTGTAAATGGGTATCGGTGTCTCACCCAGGAGCAGCATCTCATTCGCTTCACGCTACATGAAACTGGGGCTAAGATCCAGCCGTATGAGCCCCGTGGCTCTGCAAGAATTTACTTACTGTACTTTTTAAATAATATAAATTATAGAAATAATAATACTTAAGATATTTTGTCTGTTTAGCTAAATAAAAGTGCTCTACAATATTGATACTTTAATATCTTATTTTATTCATATTTAATTAAGGTCAATGAATCAATAATTATCGCTTTTATTTTATTACATTAGCCCTAGCCATTTAACTATTAAGGAGTTTATATTAAGAGTTAGGTGATACAACATGATCGTTTCAATCGTCTTTCTTGGAAATTGATAACATAATCCTTTTAGTTAGATAATCAAGTAAGTGTTTAAAGATGTATTGTCCCTTGAAAATTACAAAAATAATTTTTAAATTAACTTGCTCATTTTGCAGTAACATACAAATTATTAACTTTAGTATAGTCATTATTAAATTTTAAAAATGTGTAGGCCTACCTGATTTTTAAATTGGATAATTGTAATAAAAATAATAAAACACTTTCAGTGACTGGATGTGTAAAATGATGGGTATACATTTTTTAAATACAATGCACGAAGTTCAACAGTTACCTCAAAATGTACAAGTTAATTTAAACAAATATTTGTGTGACTGTGTTTGTTATTTTGTATGGGACAATTATATATTTATATAAAATTGAGGTTTTAATTTGCAGAATTCACAGTATATATTTAATAAAAGATTAACAAAAACAGCGGCAGCAGTCATAATTACTTAATGATAAATGTTCGGATGATATTTTTGTTATTGTTACTTTGTGTTTCTTCCTTGATTATCGAACATCATCAATGTTTAAATTTTTTAACGATATTGCATCTACCTCCTAGATTTTCTAATGAAGTAGAAATTGTATTTAATCGACATGGGTATAAAACAAGAAATGCCGATTCATTAAACACTGTGCCTTCAAAACAAAATTTATATATAACCAAGATTTGATTTAGATATGCGGGTACATGTGTATGAAATACACTACCACACACACATATATCTGTCTCTTATACACATCTAGATGTGTATAAGAGACAGATTATATAGTTCCTGTACATCATATTTTTTGATTACGTGCATGCGTGTTTTGAGCGTGTATATGTGTGGGTTTATGTTAGGCCTATGTGCGCGTGCGCTAATTATTTTAATTTCAAATTAATCAATATAGATAGAATTTGTAATTAATACAATCTAAATTACTACTGCTTTAAACTTTTATCAATTACCGTATATGACTAAGCGGTCTACATTTCCTAAAATAATTTGACTCATCTTTCATTTATTATTCATAGATTTTTACTGTTTGGATGTACTTTTACAAAATTCTATGTAAACCGTGTTTTAGATTAAGCTTTTTATTAATATTTGTAATTAAGTACCGAAAGGTCCACTGATTAATCTCAAGATAAGATAGTATAATACATAGGTCTACTTCAAGTATCGAAATGCACGCCATCGTATCGGGATTCAATATTTCGACATTAATCATGTCATCATCATGAATGAATGATGACATAATTAATGTCGAAATATTGAATTCCGACACGATTTAATTTTATTAAATATGCAACTTGTTGATTTTAATTATTACTGTAATTTTGTATCACAAAACAGGACCATATAAAACAGGTTTTCACACCCTCCTGATGTTATCCTATATAAATATGTTCAATAGGCCTAAATAGGCTAAATAAATAATCTCTGGTTGATTTATCCACAGATTTTGTTTCTGGGATTTATATTAATTTGCAAATCTGGTAAGAATGTTTTATTGTTCATTCATCATAGTCAAGTATTAACTACATATACCTAAAAATTTAATGTGTGTCTGTGAAACAATTCATAGGGGTTTTCCTGCGCAAACAATATAATGAGACGCCCGATTATGCGATTATCACTAGACGTATTCTACCAGACAATCACCGGTCAGCACACTGCAGTGTTGGCTGTATTTCGAACATAGAATACACTATCTATAGTCAATCAGAGTGGCAACATTTTAAAGCGCTACTAGCGCCAAACGCTTGGGCCGATTTCAAGCAAATTCGGTCAGTAGAAAACCTCCCATACATGATGTATTCACCACATGGGGTCAAAGGTCACACAAAGGTCATGAAGATAGAAAAAAAAATCGTATAAAAAGCTACTTCTCTCACATATAACACAGAGTCAGTCCCTTGCACATATACATTGCCGTAAGACAGAATCTATAGGGTGTTCAGGAATTTGGAGTCAAATGTCATTAAGGAGTAATTTTAATCTTTTTTTTTGCAACATTAAAAACGCAACTAGCGCCAAACTGTTCATTCTATTTCTACCGAACTTGGTTCAGTATATCCAGTGACACCTCCCATACATGGGGAGGGCACCGTTTGGGGTCAAAGGTCACGTCGGGGTCATTAGGGTAAATAGCCCTAAAATTGTATAAAAGCTAGCTACTTCTCTCACAAATAAAATAGTACAGATTGTTCTTTACACATAGGCCTATGTATTGGCATAAGGCAGATTCTGTAGGGTGTTAAGGGATTTTGGATAAAAGGTCATTAAATATTTAAAGTAAATAAAACATTCTTAAGTAAGTGTAATACATACTCCAAGTATTGAAATACACGCCATCGTGTTGGGATTCAATAATT